TAGGATGCTCCAGAGTGTAAAGTGGCTGATACAATCAATGGATGTTGGTCAGCATCAGGACAGGGACTGACCACTCCTGTTTTACCCTGTCCTAGAAGTTCTTGTCTGTACTATTAAACAGGACCCAGGATATTATGATAGTAAAGTATGTCTATGTGCAGATGCCTTTTTCATTCTTTTACATCACTTCCTAATTTATTATTTATTTTAAATACTTATAAACTTGCCTTTCTTCCAGGGACCTGGAACTCAATGTGGGTAACAAAGTTATTTAAGAACCAATTAAAATGGACATCTGCTCCCAATATCCTATCATCTATCAGTGCAATCCCAAGCAGGTCTACTCAATAGGGCTTACCCCCAGGAAAGTGTTTACAACTGCACTATATAACACCACCAAACAGCTCCCAAGGCCCTGTTAAAAAGGTTCAGACTTGCACCTTTTCAGAAGTACAGTAGGATGGAGTCTTCCTTAGTTTGCCTGGAAGACTGTTCCAAGGCTTGGGGTGCTGAAAGGCCACGAGAGGGTGCAGTGGCATGCACTGTGAGGGGGTCAAGGTGACCAACAGGTGCTGGTAAGCTGAATGTAGTTGTGAGATGGGCTCATATCAGAAGATCTGATTATTGCAGTTTAGAAGGTTTGGGCTTTTTGGTGTGTTTTTTTACAAATTTAATGAGGGAGGGTGTAAGAAATTACTAAGATTAGGCAAGACACTTCAAAATGAGTCTTCAAAAAGTAGTCCTTCAAATGAAAGAAAATACAATACTCAAGTATTCTAGTCACAAAAAAAATCTGTTAAACTGATCATAGGGAAAATTTCTGGTAATTAACATTAATATATCACATGGACCAACGCAGTTGTTTACCTCCCCCCCCCCAAACTAACAACAACACCTAGCTTCAGGAACATCATGTGTCATTCTTGCTAACTCAGAAATGTCAGTCAAAAAAGCAGAAGTTAATTTGCGAAGACATTGGTCTGCAGTAGAACAGCTAGATGGACTTGAATCTAGCTGTTAATTTGCAAAGCTATCACAAATATTTTACTTCAACACAGACAATTTAAAGGGTGGAGGGAGAAAGGAAGACTACCCTAACCTACAAAATTAGGTTTACACAGATAACAACTGCTTTTTCTACTCAAGGCTTATCTACTCTAGCCCCCTTTTTTTAAAAAAAGTCACATACTTGATCACTCAAGAATATACAGAAACAGTTAATTCAAAAGAACAGAGATAGCTATAATTTGAGCCCTACCTAGTCCATGTTAAAACTGAAAAGTAAATCTTTATGATGACAAATTAGGCATGATAAGGCACACAACCCTTGAGGATATTACTGATAATGACAGTATTCTGGCATGTTTTGAACTGTTACAAAATAAGTATTCTTCACCACCCCAGGAAAAATGGCATTACTTGCAGGTTAGGAATCCATTGACAGGAAAGGTTAAGGCAGATACTTGTGCAACTTTAGAGATTCCACCAGATATGCTATTATTCCAAAACATTTTGAAACTACCTCACCCAGTTCCAGTTTATTCTAAGTCTGCAGCAAATAAGAATCTCCAAGGGAAAAAACCCCAGAGATGCGTAAAGTAACAATATTAATAAAGTGCTCCATCTGAATCAATAGAAACAGATATTGCTGACTACTAAGCGAAGCATGGTTAGCCACAGATCCAGGTGGATGCCTCAGCATCTTGCAAATGGAAAACCAAATTACCCATTTGCAAGCTAGAGATGCTTATTTTGAGCATAGACTAGGGTCATGCAATTATTAATTCAATCTTGAAAGAGAAAATTGAATATAATGATTTGATTTTTAACATAGCAATACACCAAATTCAAACTGAAGAGGCACCAGATCCTCAAGACAACTCCCATAGCTATATGTCAGATTCTGAGAATGTGGAAAGATCAAAATACAGCTTCAATCCAAGCTTGTTTCCAGACTTTGAGTAGAATATAGTTTGTTTTCTATGTTTTAGCTACAAGAGCCCCTGAGCTTTCATATTATTATGAAATTAAAGCTCTTTCACTTGGAAGTTCAGCAACTGTTTAAACTGTGAAGGATACAGTGAAAAGTGTATACATATAATATAGTAATGTTCTTCACTCTGATACCAGTTCCTTGACTTACGTTATTTCTAACCACACACAGTTTGAAGTTCCAATCCTAACCACAGACAAGACCAACACTATAAAAACAATATTTTTTCTCCTGGAAATGCCAGTTAGTTGAGTTGGCTCTCAGGTTTGGACACTGTGGACATACACCTATTAAGTCCAATGTGCTGCTTAAACTCTGTCAAGAGCAGCAAAGTTTAAAATCTTAAAGCTGTTGTGCAGCTGGATTTATCTGTCCTGCCTACCAAATACAGATACGAATGATGAGTAAAAGAGAAAAAAGTGTACAGATTCTAGAGCAGATATGTTCAGTTTTAAATTGGATGCCTCAGAACATGAAAAGAATGTGATTATTTATGTGATCCTAGCCCACACTGCAGGAACACAGATCCTTCTCACTGATGAGAATCCTAAAAGCCAAA